GCTTTTTTCTTTTTGCTTATGTGGTGCTGAGGAATTGAACCCAGGGCCTCATGCATGCAAGGCAAGCACTCTACCACTGAGCCACCTTCCCAGCCCCTGTAACTATTCCTTAATTGACAGAGTGGTCCATTTTTTTGTAGTTCCCAAGCCTTTTATTATTATTACTGTATAGTAGCCATACTTATAACTTAGTATTGTCCAGATCAGTATCTACTATCATACTAAGCCAACAAATGAGATTTAAAATTTAGAGCAATAAACGTTGCTTCCTAAAGTGAAAGAGAGTAAAGGGGAACCTTTTTATGTGCACATACTAAAACTAAAATTTGTTTGTTTTAAGAAACCTTCTATCATTCAGCAATTAGGAATAAGAACTCTCAGACATTTTGGTCATCGTCCCTGGCACCGCAAAAAGAAGAAAAGGCTTTTGTCCTCCCCTGCGTATCCTATACATTCTGAAGTGGATGCTTCTCATGAAAAATTAGAAAGCATGTCAGAATCAGATGCCGTGAATGTCAGTGGTCTTTCTCAAGACTTATCTCACTCAGATTCTCTCTTCTGTATGGAAGCTAGCCCTGTCACCCTGGACTTGCCTAAGGTGAGCTTTGTTACCAAGTTCTAGGAGTTCAGGTTCATTCATTACTTCTCACATCTCCCCTACAAACATTTCCCCAAAAGAATGAGGGATAGTAAAAGGATCTCCAATGAACATATATTGGATGAATTCAGGGCCAGGTTTTCCTAATCCCAATAACATATAAAGAAAGATAGAATTTTGAAAATAGAGTGTTAAAATTTATCTTTCTTAGCTTGCTCCTGAAATTCCAAGAATATAGCCTATGGTCCTTCACAAATTTCACAGTCTAGACTCAGTCCCAAGCGAAAGGAGAGCCCAAAGGACTTGATTCCTGGTCAAAGGCTTCCATCACTGTGGTAGTATGCAAATGATTTGACTGGCATGTACAATGACAGTGGCATCATCCTGAATGGAAATGACTACCAGCCTGTATCTTCATGAAATCAGAGACTGTAATGTCTCAAGATCATGAGTGTTACTGTAAATGTTTGATAGTTCCCATCAAAAGAGTAAGGGAAGCCGGGCGTTGGTGGCTCATGCCTGCAATCCTAGCTACTCAGGAGGCTGAGATCTGAGGGTCGCAGTTCAAAGCCAGCCTGGGTAAACCAGTAAACCACTCAGAAAATCGAAAGTGGCTCTGTGGCTCAAGTGATAGAGAGCTTGCCTTGAGCTGAAGAGCTGAGGGATAGTGACCAGGCCCAGAGTTCAAGCCCCACGACTGACAAGAAAAAAAAAAAGTATAAGGGAATAAATAAAAATGTATTCAATTGTGCATATGTTAGTGCATCTTTCACAGTTAAGACGGAAATATCAGAAATTTCATATGGTCTAGCCTATGAATTCGTTCTAAAAGGATTGTTTATGATAGGAATTAATAAACTACCGGCTGGGGGCCCGTGGCTCAAGCCTGTAATCCTAGCTACTCAGGAGGCTGAGATCTGAGGATTGTGGTTTGAAGCCAGCCCAGGCAGAAAAGTCTCCATGAGACTCTTACCTCCAATTAACCACTCATAAGCTGAAGGTGAAGCTGTGGCTCAAGTGATAGAATTCTAGACTTGAGCACAAAGGATGCTCAGGAGCATCCAGGCCCGGAATTCAAACCCCACAGCCAACAACAACAATAACAAAAAATTCTATCTCTAGAGAATACTCAAGTACTTTAAAAAAATGGTCCATAATAATTTCACATTGGAAATAACATAATTTTTTATGAGTAAATGAATATTTATTTTATAGATGAACAGTGGAAATGTAACTTAAATATTCTACTAGTATATTTTTTACACAGGAAGCTGAGATCTGAGGATCACAGTTTAAAACCAGCCTAGGCAAGAAAGGAAATTTCTGCAAAAAGCTGGAAATGGAATTTCCAAAAAGCTGGAAGTGGAGCCGTGGCTCAAGTGGTAGAGCCCTGGCCTTGAGGCAAAAAGCTCAGGACAGAACCCAAGGTCTGAGTTCAAGCTCCAGGACACTCCCTCCTCCCCACCCCTCCCCACACGCACGCATACACAATATAATAAGTTAGAGGTATCTGTACTCTCATTCACCCCTATGTCTACAGAGTCATGATCTTACCTAGAGAAAATTAAAATATTAAAACAGAGGATTACTTAATGACTTTCCTAGAATCATAGGTGTTAGTAATAGGGACTAAACACACAGTGGGGAAGATACTAGAAGCACATTCTACCTGTAAAAAAATTCTAATAAAAATTGCCTAATACATGTTCCTTTAGAAGTTCATGTTTGTTTGAAATACAGATATTAATGCTCTTTAAATTATTAATACAGAATGAAACAAAGAATATAAAAATGGAAAATGAGTCTATACCCACACTTTCTGAAGACGTTTATAGCATACAAGACAACTTGCTTAGTGGTGAGTATCTCTTTTTTTCCTGTTGTTGGTCATGGGGCTTGAACTTGTTCAAGGCTAGCACTCTTCCATTTTGAGCCATGACCAAGTCCAGTTTTCTTGTGGTTAATTGGAGATAAGAGTCTCACAGACTTTCCTGACTGGCTTTGAACCACAATCCTCAGATCTCAAGCCTTTGAGTAGCTAGGATTATAGGCATGAGCTACTGGTGTCCAGTTGTCAGTATCCCTTTCTGAGTAATATGCAAAACACATGTATTTATTTGTGCATCCCTGATAATAAGAGCAGCCATCAGGCACATATATATGACAGAAATATTATATACATTATATTATATTATCATATAATACTATATATAATATAAACATTACATATTATATAATTGTATATACACATATATATTACATTTAATACAAAAAAATCCTATGGCATGGGTTTTTAAATTTTTAATAAGGATAGTTTTTTACTTTTACATATGAGGATATTGAGGCCCAATAATTTGCCCAAGGCAGTATAGCTTTATCTGAGTGAGCTGTGAGTCAAGTCAGTCACAACACTTGGATTATATATTGTGCAAGTATCTTAAAAGATGGATATGAAATGAAAGCTATTTAGGAATTCATCATACAATAATAAGACACATTGATCATGTTCATTAAAGAAAACCCAAATGTTGTATCGAAATGCCTTTATTTTCTAGTATTTTTAAAATAATATTAAAAAGACTCAAAAATGCCTATTGACATCAGAGACTTCAGTATGTACAGTATAAGAAAAATAAGGTTTGTAAAGGAAAAGAAATAGAGAGGCTGTGAACGCAAGATCAATATGCCTAGAAGGTTACATTCTCCTGAAGTACATCATTGACTTGTAGATGGCCACCTTCTTGCTGTATCTCAAACCCAGACTTCTCTGCACCAGTCATTCTGGATTTGGATCTACTGTTTTGACTGCATTTGTACTAATTACTTTTTTATGACTTTGTCTTACAATATAGTCACATTCTAAGGTATTGGGGATTAGTGCTTTAATCTATAAACTTTTGAATTTTCTATAATTATAGAAAAGCAAGAACTTTATATATACAAAAAAATGAACATAAAAAACATGACAATAAGCTAAATACTGGTGGCTCACACCTGTAATTCTAGCTACTGAGATTTGAGGATTGTAGTTCAAGCCACCGGAGCAGGAAATAAACTACCAAAACACAGGAAGTGGTCTATAGCTCAAGTGAAAGAGTACCCAGCTCCTGAGCTCAAGACCCAGGATGGCACACACACGCGCACACACACACACACACACACACACACACACACACACACATGCACACGCGACAAGGAAACAGAAGTTGAGGTTGGCTCAAGTGGTAGAGGGCCAGCTTTGACCAAAAACTCCAAAGGACAGTACCCAGGCCCTAAATTCAAGTCCCAGTACTGGCATAAATGGGATGGGAGGAGGGAGGGAGAGAGAAAAGGAAGGAAGGGAACAAAGAAAAGACAAAGTAGCATTTACTTTGTTGTACTGGAGATTAAACCCAGGGCCTTGCACATGCTAGGTGAGAGAGAGTATACCACTTGAGAGAGGTATACTCCACCCCTAAAATATCATTTGGTAGATATCAATTTGACATGCTTGGAAGATGTAAAACATAAAAATTCTTACGCTATTAGTAGAATATAAATTAACACAACCAATTTGGAGAACAGTTTTACAATATCTAGTGAAGTTTAAGGTAAGTATTTTTCTGTAATTTAGAAATTCCATTTCTAGATTACATACCTGGAGCCTTCATATCCAGTGTATAAGGTAATGTGTGTAAGAATGTTTGCTAGAGTGCTATTTCTAATACTAAAATCAGAAAAATATTAAATAGTCAATAAAAGAGGAATATTAAATAAAAGAGGAATAATGTGTAATCTCTCAATACAATGAACTAGATCTACCTGTATATACATAGCTAGGTCTCAAAAGCAAAATTTTAAGTGAAATATAAGACTTTTTCATTTGTTTTGTTTTGTTTGTAGTGCTGGGAGTTGAACCCAGAGTCTTACACATGCTGGGTAAAACTGTTTACATATAGGCATAATGATGCTATTTATGTAAAAATTTACAAAATATCATCTATGTATTTGTAGTTTGCCTAGGGTGCTACAAGGATAATTTGAAACTTGAGAACATCTCAAAGACCAGATATCTGACAAACTCCATAAACTAATAGCTCAAAGCAGCTCACTATTTCAATAATTTATACTATAACCCTTTCTATGATGCCTTTATTTGCAAAGGTAGGTTTTTGGAAGTTGCTGTGATTAAAAAAAAAGTAAAAATCAGTGTAGAATAAAGAAGTATTGTGCTGTTGTTTTATCTGATTCCAAGATTGAGACAATACATGGTACTCATTTGTAGTTGCTATGGTTAAGACAGGATCTCACTGTCTAGTCCAAATTACCCTTGAATTTTTGTGATCCTCCTGCCTCAACCTCACAAGTCCCGGTATTACAGGAGTGTGCTAACAGTCCTGATATGACATGTATATTCTCAAAGAGCTAATGACAGGACAAATACTAACTTGTTTGGACTTACCCAATGAAATGGAACTCTTAGGTGTTTTGCTGTTGTTGTTCTAAGATGCTATGAAAAAATTACTGAGACATTATTGAATCAAAAATGAGCAAGTAGGTTGAGATGAGGGTTAGACAAATGAAGAGAGAAAAGGCGAGCAAATGTAGTTATAATATTCAATGTATGTATGTGAAAAAGGAAAATGGAGGTGATGGGTAGGGTTGGGAGAGAGAGGAAAATGATGAAAGGGGTGACATTGATCAAGATGAATTGTACTCATAAACTGACATTTAATTAAAACCTCTTTGTACAACTACTTAATGAAAGGCTTAAAAAAAAAGAGCTGGGTGCCAATGGCTTACACCTGTAATCCTAGCCACTCAGGAGGCTGAGATCTGAGGATCACAGTTCAAAGCCAGCTCAGGCAGGAAAGTCCATGAAACTCTTATCTCCAGTTAACAACCAGAAAACCAGAAGTGGTTCAAGTGGTAGAGCACTCCCCTTGAGCTGAAGAGCACAGGGACAGCATGCAAGCACAGAGATCAAGCCCCAGGACTGACAAAAAAATAGTTTAGAAACCTGATGTATAGTATTTGGGGAACATAAATGTCTAGTAAAAGTTGAAAAATATAAATAGGAAGAATGCATACAGTAGTTATGTTTAAAGAGGCAGAAGATGAAAATTAGAAAAGTGGGCCATTTTATAACATTTTGTTTCATTTTGTCTTAATTTCTTCTGATGTTTTAAGCATGTGTTAGATAACCTGGATTCTTTGCCATATTGAGAAATGGTACAGCATTGCATTTAGAAATAATATTCTAGAATATCACCTGTACTGCTTAGCAGATATGAGTCCTTAGCAAGTGACTTAATATCTGCTTTATCTCAGCTTCCTGATTTGTAAAAATAGAGATGTTAACATTTTCCTCAATGGATTTTTTTTTAAGTAAGATAAGCAAGTTTGGAACTGGAGGTGAGGTGCAAGTGGTAGAGTGCCAGCTGTGAGGGAAAAATCTGAGTAAGAACTCAGGCCCTGCCGGGCGCTGGTGGCTCACGCCTGTAATCCTAGCTACTCAGGAGGCTGAGATCTGAGGATCACGGTTCAAAGCCAGCCCGGGCAGGAAAGACCGTGAGACTCCTATCTCCAATAAACCACCAGAAAACCGGAAGTGGCGCTCTAGCTCAAGTGGTACAGTGCTCGCCTTGAACTGAAGAGCTGAGGGACAGCACCCAAGCCCAGAGTTTAAGCCCCATGACCGACAAAAAAAAAAAAAAAAAGAACTCAGGCCCTGAGTTCAAGCCCTAGTGCACAAAAAGAAAAAAAATTAAACAGGTTTGTGTTTAGTATTATATCCTATAATTTTATAATCTTTTGAGATATTTTAAATTTAAAATATTTCAAAATTACAGCAAAAACAACTTTGAAGCTCTCTTAGAATTTATTGTATTTGAACAGGATAATACATAATGTGCTTTCAACCACTAACCCCTACCCTCAGTAGTATTTGGAGATTGAACCCAGGGCCTAGAGCATGTTAGAAAAGCAGTCTACTACTTGAGCCCTGTACCCAGTCCTTGTATTTTGTTTTTTGAGATAAGATCCAGCCAGCTTTGCATAGTCTGGCCTCAAAGTTTGGTTCTCCTGTCTCTGCCTCCTAAATAGCTTAGATTACAGGCATATACTACTACATACTTTTATGTGGCAATCCTTTGGAGACTTCTTCCTTCCATATAAAAAGAGTTGCTTTGTTTCATTTGCTAGCACAAGCCATGCTAAATTCTATATAATGAATAAGGTTAAAATAATATGTAATTCTTATAAGACTTTCATAGTTTATTTCTTAAATATAAGTTGCCACATAGATTTATGGTCAACCTTATCCTTATTTCCTCCTTTCTGTTTCTAAGGAGATATCAGCATTGGAAATGACACACAGAATGTACAAATGGAGCCAGTTAACTCCAGCATTTCTTCCTCACCACAATTTGAACCCATTTGTAAATTTCACTGGATAGAAGAATTTTATGATGACACCACAACATTTCAGAATATTATGGAAAGCCTTTCTTATACAGAGAACTCAGAATTGGGAAACCATGGGTATCATTATGCAAAAGAGACCAATACAAAGCAAGATTCACTCGAGGAAGAAAATCCAATGGAAACTTGCCTGTCAACAAATAAGGACCAACCTGCTCATAATTGTATCAACCAGTCTCCTGGAAATCCATCTATAACCTACTACAATAAAGAGACACCACAGTTCACAGAAAATTTAAAGGCTGAATGTACTGCCAAGGAATCTGCTGTCAACACTAGTCAGCTTCACGACTCTTTAGATAAAGGAAGTGTCCCCAGAAATGTTGAAAATTCATTTTATAATAAGAATAGCTTTAAACTGCTTGATCTGAGAGTTAATTATAAAGCAGAGGAGGTAAGATTATCAATAATGAGTAAAGCCTTGGAATATTAAAGGGAAAAGATGTCTTAAAAACATATATTTAGCCATGTGATGGTGGCTCACACTTGTAATCCTAGCTGTTCAGGAGGCTAAGATCTAAGGATGGAAGATAGAAGCAAGACCAAGCAAAAAAGTTTGTGAGACTCATCTCCAATTAACAACCGAAAAACCAAAAGTGGAGCTATGACTCAAATAGTAGAGCTAGCTTTGAGCAAAAAAGCTTAAGGACAGAGTCTAGGCCCTGAGTTCAAGCCCCAAGAATGGCACAAAAAATGAATTTAATTTGTATCTCCTTAATGAAAATGAATTCTGAGAGATTAGTAAGTTCAAATATTTTTTTTTCTAATTCAAGTCCATATTTGGGCAGGAGCTCTACCAATGGTTGGTTCTATGCAGATCAGAACTCTTTAGTCATCTTTTTATATGTCCTAGCATATACATGGTGTGTTGAATATAATGTTTTTATATTTGTTAAAGCTATTATATTTGTTAAGCTTTCAGGAACTAAGATCATATGTAATGAGGGGAAAATAAGAAGAGGATTATGTGAGGAAGATGTTGATTAAGCTATTTGATGAGCTTGAGATCTTACTATTTTGTGTGGATAAATTAAAAAATCAAAATTTTTTCTGAAGTGAAAAAATTCATTTATCTTTTGGTTTATTTTTATTTTTTGCTGGTTCTGGGGCTTGAACTCAGGGCCTGGGTGTTGTCCCTGAACCTCTTTCTGCTCAAGGCTAGTGCTCTAACATTTGAGCCACAGTGCCACTTTAGGCTTTGTCTAAGTAGTTTTTTGGAGATGAGTCTCATGGATTTTTCTGCTTGGGATGGCTTCAAACTGTCATCTTCAGATCTCAGCTTCCTGAGTAGCTAGGATTACAGGCGTGAGCCACCAGCACTCAGCATGGTTTATTGATTATGGGCTTACGTGTAGAATTCAAAAAGCACTGAAGATATCAACAATATAAGTTAAGTTCTGTACTCCCTAAATCAAGAAAAAGCTCTAAGAATTGGAATGGACAAGTACATATAATTCAAGTTTTCTTTACATTTTCAATATGTGAATAATAAGAAAAGGTATAGCTATTATGTTTCATGTTTAGATATAAGCAGAGGTTTTTAGTTATTCTTTTGAAGTAGATGGCAGAATGTGAAAGAGTTCATTTACCCAATCTTGATTTCTCAAGGAAACAGTAAAATCTCTACTCAATTTTTTAAGATTGTACCTTCTTCTTTCTGTTGCATTTAGTCATTTTTTCAGTCAATCAATAGCAATAAATATTTTGGCATCTCTTATGTGCCAGGTCCCTTGCTAAGTATTGATTATGTATGGGTTAAAAAGAAAACAAGAAAATATATGGTTCTTTATGAAAATAACATTCTAGTAGAGGAGAGAGACAAGTAATCACATAGTACATGTACACATGCAATAATGGTAAGAGCTTTATAAAAGTCAGCTGATTATCTACACTCAGGATACTTGCCTGGTCAGAGAGTCTGGGGAGACTTCCCAAAAGAAGTTATCATTAAGCTGAGTTTTACGGTATAAGTAATTCAGAATGGGTGAGTGATTTGTGCATGAGGAATAGCATCTGCAAACCCTCTGCGTCTTTTGGAATCATGGTACCGACTAGGACTTGAAAGAAGCCCAGTATTTGAAAAAAACAACAACAGGGTTTCAGGAAACAAGAAGATTATAGTTGATAAGGATGTAGAGGTGCCATAGGTCAGTCATCTTGGAGTCTAGGAGGCCTCAATAAGATTGCTTTTATCCCAGAGCAATTAAAAAATCATTAAAAATGTAAAAGCTGGCTATCTAAATTAATCTACTTTTACTCTTATGATATCTCTTACTGGGTGCTTAATGTCATATTTATTTCAAGGTTTCATGTCATAATTTAATATCATTTGTTAACCCTCTCCCCACCAAAAACCCTGTATGGTGGGCACAAAGTCAACCATGAGGCTTGCCTGTCTGTTAATGTTCATAGAGTTGTAGCATAGTGATTTAATGGTCTCAGCGAAGAAATTTTAAAAGTATTTTATCAGAAAAGCCATTGTAGTCAATAGGGGCAATTGATACATTTATTTGTTTTCATTGATTTGAAATCAAAGAAAGCATCGTGAACGTTAGTATCATAGAAAATGGAGAATATCAAATGATACTTCATCTTTTGTGAATGTTACATATTTATCATATACCTACTGGTTATTCTGTTGTGCTGTTGGGATCTGTACATATTTTCAGCTACTATGCTTTGTTAAGTAGTTATTATTAGTGAAAGTAGGTGATATTATTATTTAGTAGCTGAGAAAACCAAACTAGGGTTCAGCTCTGTCTGACTCCTGAGCTCCCAACCCTCTCTACTCTTTCACATTTATTTTATTCACTATAATTTACAGACTGAAGTTTCTTCAAAAGAAATACAGAATTCCAGGGATGTCAATCACCAGGAAGAAGTGACATCAGCAGGTGTGAAAAGCATAGGGATTGCCATGTCTTGGTCTCCAGTAGGCAACCCCAGGAGTGGTGTAGCATCTCAAAAACACTGCATGACACCTGCCGTGGGGCAAGACATTGAAAATTTATGGCCTCTGGAAGAGGACTTGGCTTTAAATGAAGTCTTACAAAAATTAAAATATACTAACAGAAAGCAGCTTGTGCAGATCCAAGACCTCCAGTATAGGAATGAGCACTTAGAGAAGCAGGTGAAAGAATTACAGATGAAGATCACCAAACAGCAGACATTTGTTGATATCATAAGCAAACTAAAGGAGAATATTGAGGAATTAATTGAAGACAAATACAACGTAATGCTAGAAAAGAGCGATACTAACAAGAAATTGCAAAATTTGCAAGAGATTTTCAATGACACACAAAAACATCTTCAAGAGACCAAGAAAGAGAAGGAAACTTTACAACTCCAGTTTAAAAAGCTGAAGGCTAATTATCTTCATTTACAGGAAAGATTCCTTGCTGAAATGCAAGAGAAAAACCTCTCTGTAGATCAGTGTATAGAAATGGACAAAACCTTGTACAAGAAAGAAGAGGAGATCAAAAGCCTGCAACAACTTAAAGGAGAATTGGAGATGGCCACTACTTCTGCTTTGGAATTGTTAGAAAGGGAAAAAGAGACCCGAGAACAAGAGCTCTTGACTTTACAAGCGGAGTTCCAGAAACAGGAAAAAGAAAGCCTGAGAGAAAAACGGAAATTGAAATTAAGAGTTGAGAAGTTGATCATGCAAGTTAAAAATTTGCTATTCACATGTGAACATGAAAAGGCTAAGAGTGCAAAACTTCAGCAGCATATTGACGAGATGAAAAATGAAAATGCAGAACTTCAGCAACAGATTAGAAGGTGTGGGGAGCAAAATCGTGTCCCTAAATTTGAGATGTCTCAGTTAATGGGCCAATTAGAGGATGTCATGGAACCAGGTATTATTAAGGTACTGATGCAGATTTCTTTTGCTTGCTTGCTTGCTTTTTTTCCTCCTGTAGTAGTTTTGTACAGATACTGGGCCTTTAACTCAGCTCTCATTCAACTTTTCACACTCATGGCTGGTGCTTTACCACTTGAGCCATATCTTCAGTTCTTCATGCAGATTCTTTTTTTGTTGTTGTTGGTTCTGGGGCTTGAACTCAGGAACTGGACACTGTCCTTGAGCCTCTCTGTGCTCAAGGCTAGCACTCTACCACTTGAGCCACAGCGTCACTTCTGGCTTTTTTTTTTTGTTTATGTGTTATGAGGAATCAAATCCAGGGCTTCATGCATGCTAGGCAAGCACTCTATCACTAAACCACATTCCTAGCCCCCAGATTCTTAATCTCTAATAGAATTCCAAAAGTTTCTAGTAGTCTGGTGATAAACAATTCAACACATGCTATACTTAATACAGTATTTGTAGAAAGAATTACTAACAAAAAGAGAAACTAATAGAAAATTTCTCCACTAATTTGGATAAATTTCTTTTGGTTCATGGGTATTCACCTTAATGATGAATAATTCTTGGTTTCTTGTGATTATTTTTGTTGAAGTGGCAACCTGGGAATTTTCCCCAATCCTCTGAGACCTCTCTCTTCTTACCCCCTACCCCCTACCCCCCCCCCCGCATCTCTTTCTTGTCCTGGGTCTTCAACTATGAGCCTGGGCACTACTCCTGAGCTTTTGTGCTTCAGGCTAGTGCTCTTGAGCCACAGCTCCACTTTTGGCTTTTTGTGACCAATTGGAGAGAAGAATTTCAAGGACTTACCTGCTCAGGTTCGCTTTGAACCATGATCCACAGATCTTAGCCTACTGAGCAGCTAGGCTTATATGCATGAACCCCAAGTACCTGGCTCAACGAAGTTCTCTGTGAGGAAGGATTTTCTAAGTGAGACTGACAATCGTATTTAGCAATAAACTTAGTGATGCAATTGTACATTTGGTTTGTAAGGCAAAGCAAACCTGTGTTATAAAAGTTTTATAAAATGATAAAGTATTTTAAAAAACTACATTAGTTCCTCATATTAGTATGTTTACAGAGGCAGCAGGTTTTTGTTGTTTGTTTTGTGTTGGTACTTGGGTTTGAACTAAGGGCCATTCTCACTCAACTTTCTTACTTATAGCTAGTATTCTACAACTTGACTGCATTTTGCTGCTTAATTGGAAATGGAATCTCATGGACTCTTCTGCTTGCGCTGATTTTAAACTGTGATTTGCAGATCCCAGCTTCCTGTATTGCTAGGATTACAGGTGTGAGCCACAGGTGCCTGGCTCTGTTTTTTAAATTCTATGCTTAAAGTGATTTTTTCTTTACAGCCAAGAACTTGAAAGCACCTGTAGAAAGGGATAATTTCCACAAGCAGGCAGTAGTCTGCCTTAAAGTATATGAATCTTAACCAAGTATAGGAAAATATTATTAACTCTGACTACTTAGGAAAAAAGCTAATTTGAGCTAGAAGGTTTTTTTTCCCCTACATTTGTTATAATTTAAGCTGTCAAATTGCCTAGAAGATGTCCTTAGTGGACCCACATGATCTGTAATAAGTGTGAATAGTTTCCAAGTATATAATTACAATTTTAATGATTCTTTGGAAAGAATGGAACAATATTTCATGTTTTAAAAATTCTAAGATCAGCCTAGAATGGTGGTTCGCACCTATACTCTTAACACTTCAAAGACTGAGGCAGGAGGATTTTGAGTTCAAGGCCAACTTGAGGTATGTAGTGAATCCCTACCTCAAAAAAAAAAATTAAGGTCTGCTAAGGATAATCTCTTAAGGACTATTTAAACCCGTGCTTCTCTCATTTGGACTTGTAGCAATATGGCCTAGAGAACATGTTAACACATAAACTGCTGGGCCCCATCCCAGAATTTTTGAATCAGTTGGTCTTGGGTGAGGCTCAAGATCATATAATTCTTGTAAGATCCCAGGTCTTACTGATGTTTCTGATTCATCAGGGATCACACTTTGAGGATAGTGGTTCACAGCCAGCCCAGGCAGGAAAAGTCCGTGAGACTTTTTTTGTCAGTCGTAGAGCTTGAACTCTGGTCCTGGGTACTGTCCCTGAGCTCCTCAGTTCAAGGCAAGCGCTCTACCACTTAAGCCACAGCGCCTCTTCTAGGGATCACACTTTGAGAACAGTTGACCTCACCAAAGATGTTCTCCTAACTCACTCAGGATAAATTTTCAACCAGTAACTTCTGAATGAATTAGAGGTTTAATATAGTATGTAGTTTTTTTTCTTCAAATCAAGTTCCTTTTTAAATCTTGACTAAAGAGTTTTGCTTTCTACTTATTCTATGTTCACTTCCTCAAATTATAGTCTGAGACCATCTGTGGGGTCAAAAGTATTTTTTGTTAGCATACATTAGTTATACAAGTGAGTTTCACTGTGAAATTTCCACATGTATATGCAGTGTATCCCCTCAACTTACCCCTTTCATCACTCTCCCTTATAAACTCCTCCTCAAAACAAAAATTACAACAGGTTTCATTGTTCTATTTTCATATGTCCAAATAAACCATCCTTATTTACTCTGTTAGCCCTTCCCCCCAACTACTGGTGCTTACATCTCCATCTTGAGTCTGTTTAAAAAAATACTTTCATAGGAATACATTATTGCCAGGTGTCAATGGCTCATGCCTATAATCCTAGATAACCAGGATGCTGAGACCTAGGATTACAGTTCAAAGCCAGCCCAGGCAGGAAAGTTCCCTAGACTCTTATCTCCAATTGACCACCAAAAGCTAGAAATGGAGCTGTGACTTGAGTGGAAGAATGCTAGCCTAGCACACAAAAGCTCAGGGATAGTGCCTACACTCTGAGTTCAAGTCCCAGAACCAGCAAAAAAAAAGAAAGAAAGAAAAGAAAAACAAGATAGAATTGCATTATTGCCACTTAGGCATGGTGGCACGTATCTGTCATTCCAACTATTTGGGAGGCTGGTTTCCCAAGTGTACAGCTCGCTTCTTTAGAAGCTATGTGACATGTGGCAACCTAACTGCCCTCATAGAAGTTGAGAAGCAAATATGAGCACTTAGCTCTCATAGTTTAACCATATTTTACAAAATGAGCTAGAGGTTTAGCTCAGGAGCAGAGCACTTGCCTAGCATGTACAAGGCCCCTAAGTTCCATGGTCAGCACATGCACACACAATACACACACATACATACACATAGGCACCTTTTAATTAAAATGTTATATTGATACATAATAGATTGATAGCCAACCATCCATTCCAAAGCATTCGGAGTTATAATTCCTAACTCACAAACACTGATAGCCATTGCTGGCAGTGCCCAGGGCTTGAGGAAGGCTCAGGGTCTCTGAGTGGGTTATGGAGTGCCTTAGGATCCATAAGTTGCTGGCAGCACAGGGATGCCATTGAATTTCTGAACTTCACTTGCCTTAAAATAGCTTCTTAAAAGTTTTAGTGTGCATTTGAGAAGCCTGGATCCATGTACCCACTTTTCTCTAAAATATAGACTCAAGACAGACCAACTTGGGCTGGGAAGGTGGCTCAGCGGAAAGAATGCTTGCCTTGCATGCATGAGGCCCTGGGTTCGATTCCTCAGCACCACATAAGCAGAAAAAGCCAGAAGTGGCACCATGTCTCAAGTGGTAGAACGCTAACCTTGCGCTGAAGAGCTCAGGGATGGCACCCAGAGTTCAGGCCCCATGACTGACAAAAAAAAAAAAAACAGACAGACCAACTTCACAAAAACAAAAAGGGCTCCTTTTTTGGCTAATACTAGGACTTGAACTCAGGACCTTGTGCTTGTTTTTTTCACTCACAGCTGACACTCTACCACTTAAACCACACCTCCACTTCCAGCTCTTTTTTTTTTTTTTTTAATAGATTGCTATATTTTGTTTTACAGTCCTATTTATACTTACTTGCTTCTGTGGTAACTTATTTTGTTCTTATTTTTTTTTTTTTTTTTTGGCTGGGAATGGAACTCTGGGTCTGGGCACTGTTGCTGAGCTTTTGTGCTCAAAGCTTGTGCTCTACCACTTAAGCCAGCTCCACTTCTGGCTTTTTTTTGTAGTTTAGTAGAGCTTAGAGTCTTAGACTTTCCTGCCCAAGCTGGCTTTGAACTGTAATCCCCAGATCTCAGCCTCCCGAGTAGCTAGAATTACAGGAGTGAGTACCAGCACCTGCCTTTTTACTGCTTATGTATTTTATTTGTCTGCCCTGGCTTTCTTGAAACTGAGATTCTCAGTAGCTAAATTATAGGTGTGAGCCACTGGTATTCAGCAAGGGTTCCTTAGCTTGAAATAAAAAATTGCCTGGCACTGGTACCTCATGCCTGTAATCTTAGCTACTCAGGAGGCTAAGATCTGAGGATCATGGTTCAAAGCCAGCTCAGGAAGGAAAGATAGTGAGACTCTTTATCTCCAAAACAGGCACTGTACCTAAAAGTTGTAGGACACTAGCAGAAGAGCTCAGGGACAGCACCCAGGCCCCATGACAAAGAAGAAAAAAGAGGAGGAAAATTTCTCCTATTCCTAGACTCCAATTTCATTAGATCTCTGAGGTAGATAGCAGCTATCTCCTTATGAAAATTTCTGTGACCAAAATTTTCCTCTTGGGAGAAAAGGCTAGTGAAAAAGGCTGGTTCTCTCTGCTGGAAGAAGATCCTAAGAAGGACTCATGAAAAAGTCTTCCCCAGACTTTTGATCCCCTGATGAGAAATGAGCAGGAGTTTTCTGAATCGCAGGATTACTGGGCTCTCTCTAGTCGCCAGTGACAGTGCACAAATACCTCCCAGGTGTCCTTCCAAGAAGACAGTCAGCTAGCCCCCAGTGAGTTGTGAGTTGTGACCACACCCTTCAGGAATTTTTTTAAAAGGGAAATGGATCGACTAATTGTTCATGTTCAAGGAGAAAAAGTCTGATCACCTTAGAAAAGATACTGCTTGCAGAACACAGCCTACATGATATGTTTCCTATTTCAGAAACAGCATTGGGATTGGAATCAAGATTGACAGGCCTATTATTATGAAGCCTTTGTCTAATTTTGATGATTAAAATAATTCACCACAGCCATACATATTAGGTCCTCAGGATTATGTTTTCTTTGGTTACATTTTCAAGTTCATGGCAGTACTTTGAGTAGATTTTGTGAATGAAAGTCCTGTGTAGCAAAGTAACAACATCCCATATGTGAAGAAAGCAGCATGAATCCCCCAAGGCCTGAACTCGACAGTGGTTCTTCACCTTTGACTCTTCCAGGATTTTTTTACAAGGTGAATCCTCAGCAAAATCTACCCTCAAAGCATATTTGTGCTTCACTTGGCCATGTCCGAGTGGAGAACTTTTTCCAACAGCTTTTTCAAAAGACAACGGCCGTTTCAAGGCAATATTTAACTCTTGATAGGGAACATAGACGGACAAAAGTGGACTTTTCAAACCTAGTAAGTCAAACAAGACTTCAATCCCAAGAAAGGAAATCTGACCCTGTTATTTGTTGACTTCTACTGTGGCCATGAAGAGGAAGATGGACGGCCAGAACAGAAGACTTCCACAACCTTTAAAGAAGTTGGAAAGCTCTGGAAAAAAAAGTGAAGTTTATGAATCACATGAAGCATAATTTGGAACTTGAAAAGCAGAAGAGTGATAACTGGGAAAACCACATTACCTGTGGGCTATGGCCACCATCAGTCTCCCATGCCCTTCTACCTGTGCTGTCACATGGAACATGTGCACACACTGCACAAACACTCTGCTCTCTGAAATCTGTGAATCGACATTCACATTCACAAGAGATGTTCTTATAGCACACGAGGGACAATTACAACCCTGGAGAGGCGCTATGTGTGTCAGGTTTTCAGGTCAACTCTTGGCTGGTGTAACAACAAGTGTACCATGCACATACTGGATACTTTTTTTTTCTCAGAAATTTCAAAACTACATTACCATGCATGTGTCATTTTAATGGGCACTGGCAAAGGGGTGTTCACTAGTTTTTAAATGCCCGCTGCAGTGTTTGACTTTCAAGGAAAAACTAAAGCATAAGAGTCAGTGTTATAAATGTTTAAGAAACCTAAGCAACTAGAAGGTTTTCCTCCTGTGAAACAAGTTATTTAAGTGTCCCTGGATCCTTTTCATGCAAGATAAGGGAAAGTAGCATCCAATATTATGAGCACAAGTGACTTTGAGGGCTGGGAAGGTGGCTTAGTGGTAGAGTGCTTGCCTCGCATGCATGAAGCCCTGGGTTCGATTCCTTAGTACCACATAAATAGAAAAAGCTGGAAGTAGTGCTGTGGTTCAAGTGGTAGAATGCTAGCCTTGAGCCCAAAGAAACTCAGGAACAGTGCCCGGGCCCTAAATTCAAGTTCCAGGACTGGCAAAAACAAAAACAAGAACAAAACAAACAAGTGACTTTGAACCATCTTCTCCCAGGACTAAAAGTAAAATTTCAAAATAACTCATTGCTTAATTTTAGTAAACCAAAAGCAAGTATTTTGGTGTAAAAACTCCCATAGAAACAAAAAATGCAAATCACAATTCATTATACTAAAATTATTTGAGTGTTTTTTCTTTGTGGCATTGAGGTTTAAACTTGTAGTCTTACATGGTTGTACCTCCAAACCTTAAGATTTTTTTTAATTATAGAGCCTTTAGTGATTATAGATGCTAAATCTTAGACATCACAATTCTCTGTGGCTCATGCCTGTAATCCTAGCTACTCAGGAGGCTGAGATCTGAGGGTTGCAGTTTAAAGCCAACCCTTGGCATAAAAGCCCGTGAGACTTTTATCCCCAATAAACTGCTCAGAAAACCAGAAGTGGCACTGTGGCTCAAGTGGTAGAGCACTAGCCTTGAGCTGAAGAGCTGAGTAACAGTGCCCAGGCCCAGAGTTCACCCCACAACTGACCAAAAACAAAATTTTTTAAAGAATTTTCAAAAAAATTAATTTCCCACACAAAGTTCAGAGAAGCTCTCTCAATCCCACTTTATTATCAGGTATATTTTCCCAATGCATGCTTGCTCTTTCTCCCTGGCCCCCTTTTCTCTCTCTCTCTCACTCTCTCTTTGGCCATACCAGTGCTTGAACCAAGGGCCTTATGCTAACTTGGCTTGTTTGCTGGGTCAGCATTCTATTCAGCCCTGCTTTTTTTTTTTTTTTTTCAGTTGTGGGGCCTAAACTCTGGGGCCTGGGCGCTGGTCCCTCAGCTCTTCAGCTCAAGGCTAGTGCTCTACCACTTGAGCCACAGTGCCACTTCTGGCTTTTTCTGCTTATGTGGTTCTGAGAAATCAAACCCAGGGCCTCATGCATGCAAGGCAAGCACTCTACCACTGAGCCACCTTTCCAGACCTTTCCCACATTTTTAATTAGCATTATTTATACAAGGAAGTTTCATTTTTACATGTCCATATATTCATACAATATACCTTGATGAGACCCCTGTCATTCTCCCTTACTCTTCTTCCTCCTTCCCAAACCAATCTCAACAAGCGCTGTTGTTCCATTTTCACACATGCACGTAAAATATTCACCCTTTTTCACCCTCAGTTTGCTTCCCCTGCTCTCACTAGTGACTACACTCTAGAAACAACCTGTTTTACATTCCCATCATTCAAGTGGGGCGCCGGTGGCTCACTCCTGTAATCATAGCTACTCAGGAGGCTGAGGTCTGAGGATCACGGTTCAAAGCCAGCCCAGGCAGGAAAGTCCATGAAAAAAACCAGAAGTGGCGGGGCTGGGAATGTGGCTCAGTGGTAGAGCGCTTGTCTTGCATGCCTGAGGCCCTGGGTTCAATTCCTCAGCACCACATAAGCAAAAAGAAAAAAGCTGGAAGTGGCGCTGTGGCTCAAGTGGTAGAGCACTAGCCTTGAGTTGAAGGGCTGAGGGACAGTGCTCAGGCCGAGTTCAGGCCCCACAACCGGACCAAAAAAAAAAAAAAAAAACTGGAAGTGGCGCTGTGGCTCAAGTGGTACAGTGCTTGCCTTGAGCTGAAGAGCTGAGGGATAGCGCCCAAGCCAAAAAAAAAAAAAAAAAAACTGGAAGTGGCGCTGTGGCTCAAGTGGTACAGTGCTTGCCTTGAGCTGAAGAGCTGAGGGATAGCGCCCAAGCCCTGAGTTCAAGCCCCACAATCAACAACAACAACAAAAAAATCCCATCATTCTTTTTTTTTTTAGTATTTACTATTGTTTTTATTGGTTTTACCATAATACTTAACACATGCATTTACAGTACTTCTTTCAGACTGACCCCTCATTAATTTTTCCCTTTCCCAATCCCCACAATCCCTATTTCAGTGACTTCATTTTCCTATTTTCATTTCTAGACACAATGTATTTTAGTATTATTTAAATTCTGGCATTTTTTTCTTTCCTTCCTCCCATACCCTCAAAAAGTGTCACAATTACAAACCTGTTAAATACGTAGCATATACATTCCACTGTGTTTATGTATGTATTTATCTGTTAAGAGTAACATTCATACCAGGCACTGGTGGCTCATGCCCATAATCCTAGCTATTCAGGAGGCTGAGATGTGAGGATCACAGTTCCAAGCCAGCCCAGGCAGGAAAAGCAATGAGATTATTATCTCCAATTAACCACCAGAAAACTGGAAGCAGAGCTATGCCTCAAGGTGGTAGGGCACTAGCCTTGAGTGCAGGAACTCTGGGACAGTGATCTGAGTTCAAGCCCCATGACCAACTGCAGTGGGGGCTAGGGAGTGGTAAGGGAAAAGACTAGCATTCACATATGAGAGAAAATATGACCTTTGTTTTTCTGAACCTAGCTTGCTTAACATCATCATCTAAAGTTTCCCTTGGATCCATTTCCCTTTAAATGACAAAATTTTATTATTTATGACTGAAGAATACTCCATCGTGTATATGTACCACATGTATCACAGTCACTGGGCATACAGCATATGGGTTTTTTCTATAGCATGGCTATTGTGAATAGTGTTGTAAAGAACACAAGTGTGTATCAACCTCTTGTATGGTGACAAATGTTCCTTTGGATATATGCCTAGTAGGGGTGTTGCTAGATAATATAGTAATTTGATTCTTAGCTTTTTGAGTTGTTCTTCAGGAACTCTGTTTTTGTGTTGATGGCATATACATAGCATTGTTACTTTGTTTTGTTTATAAATACAGCAAATATCTTTTATCAACCTTTGTGAATTTCTTTGTCTTATTCACTGTTCTTTCAGAGAAAATGTATTATCTTATTAATGTTGCCAAAAATATAAAAAAAAGCAGAATTACAGTAATGAAATGTTTGGTGGAAAACATTGGTAGCTCTCACTTATATGAATAAAAGGTTTTTGGGGTGGTCAGTAATTTTTAAGCATATAAAATTTTCCTCCCCCCAAAAAGGTGGAGAGCCACTGCTGAGAGTTTTTAAGTGTTAGTTCACTTAGGACTTTACATAAGAGGTAATTCAGGTTCTTTATCTTGTACCTGTAGGATACAAAGATGTCTTCCAATTTGTGCCTGAATTGTAAAGAAGAAAGCATGAACTCCTCAAGTGCGAGGGAGAACCTGCAGATGCAGACCTCCAAAATTCACAGTCTTCTGACCCTAGTGGCAAGACTTCTTACATGTCAGGTGATTTTAAAATATCTGATTCGTTAGGTGGAAGAGTGCTGTACTAAACCTAAAGAGGCTATAAAGGTCGTCAGAATTATACCCTAGAAGTAAAGAAGTGGAAGACAAAAATGCAGATTTCTAAATCAACCAATCCATCTTTCCTTTTTCCTGCTGCTGCTTCTTACAGTTTTCCTTCAACAACTAATTCCCACATACACATTTTGTCCTACTAGAGACTGAACCCAGAACATTGCACATGCTAGACAAGTGTTCTACCACTTGAGCTATACTTTTAGCCATTTTATATTTTGTCTTTATTTTTTTTTTTGTCAGTTGTAGGGTTTGAACTCTGGGCTTGGGCACTGTCCCTGTGCTTTTCAGCTCAAGGCAAGTGCTCTACCACTTGAGCTACAGCACCACTTCCTGTTTTCTAGTGGTTTATTGGAGATAAGAGTCTCACGGATTTTCTTGCCCAGGCTGGCTTTGAACCTTGATCCTCAGATCTCAGCCTCCTGAGTAGCTAGGATTACAGGCGTGAGCCCCCAGCCCCCAGCTATATTTTGTCTTTTTTTTTTTTTTTTGGTCCAGTCGTGGGGCCTGAACTCTAGGCCTGGGCGCTGTCCCTCAGCTCTTCAGCTCAAGGCTAGCACTCTACCACTTGAGCCACAGCA